CGAAGTATTTGCAGTTCTTCGTCAACCGTGTCTTCAGTACATATTTTCCTGATCCTCGAGGAAAGTGAATTAATAAGATTTCTTTTCCTGCCTAGAGGAACTGAACTCTGAAAATTAACAAGTTGTCCATTCCATGTAGGCTTTCTGTAGATCGATCTGGGAAGTGAATTATCGTCTTTTCTTTGAAGTGTAACATCAAGAAAATGGAAGGTTGAGTTTGATTCTGATTCTATAGTGAATTCGGTTGAAGGGTGGGCATTGTTGAATGTATGAAGCAGGTTTGCAAGATTCTTATTTTCATCATTAATAAATATGAAACAGTATGATACTTGGGTCGAACGTACTCTATCCATTGTATGCAATCATTTATCACAATTGAATCACAGTAGTTAAAGTACTTTCCAATTAAACTCAATCTAATACTAATATTCCAAAATATGTACCCACGTCCAGCTTACTGAAAAACATATTGGATTTGTTTATTTGATTTATAACATACAATGATCTAGCATTACTATTTATTTGATGACTTTGCGAGCATAAATTATTGCTCATAATCATACCAATGTAATCACACTACTTTCGACTTTTGATTTATAATTGTGTCACTTTATATGAGTTGTTTTTATTGATAGCAAAATTTTTCATATCTCTGGTATAGGTGTTGCGTCATTTCTGTTACATGTGTTAGATGTTGGCTGATCCTATGAACAAACATTACGTAATCAATCTCTCTCAATCTCCACCTAATTATATTTGACTTAAGTACAGTGGCTTTATCTCACCCTATTATATGGTTGTGTTAATGCATGCATAGCAATAGCCGAGTTTTTTTCTAGATTATTGATTTTATTTAGGCGTGTTATTCTATATTTAGCTGAATTCCTATATTCGGCTATTCTAACTGACCCTGACCGACTAGTTTGACCTATATACTTGACCTCACAGTCATTACATGGAATTTGATGGATTATATTATTTTGCTTAATTGGTTCTAGCGGATCCTTAAGCCACGCGACAAAGTTTATCTCTGAGTGAGTTTGTAAGTTTAAATGCCACCGGAATCTGAACCTTATTGAGAATCTTACATCGTTATCTGATGTGGTTTTCTAAAATGGTAATGCTTTCGAATCCTAACATTCCTTCACAGTCACGTTGCATTCCTTGCTGACATTACTATTTTCTTTCATACTTTCTTATGTGGTTACAAATCCATTATGGTATGAGTCTATTTGACAACAAAGGTCTATGGTTTATGAAGATACAAACTGAGAAGAAATGTTAATCACACTTCAATGCACAAGTGAGTATCATAAAGTGAGGAAATCTTTTTTCGCTGATCTCAGAAAAACATAAAATGTGAATTGAAGTCAACACAATTGCAAACTTCTAACAGACATATATTCTTGTAAACTCTTCAAACATGTATATGACATTGCTGCATGCACTTGTCTTTATCAACTGAAATGCACATGTGATTACACAGACATATGAAGGACGTATCAATCCTTACAAATAAAAATATCAAAGCATATACCAAAATGGTTAAAAAGTAGATCATCTCATTTAACTCCATCTTTACTGACATACTACATCCACGTTTCTCATTCGCAGGACTTATCATTCAGACAAGCAGTAAAATAAATAAATTTTTGCGGATTTTAAAATCCATTTCAAAAATGTGTATATCAACAGTTCCGACAATAAAAATTTCAGACCTTAGTATTTTCATAAGCGATTTCTTTTAATATTTAGCCCTGACAACAAATTTTGCTTTAAAACTATGTGTTACAAGAACACTTTTTCAGTTAAATCCATGGTGTGTATAAGAGAACGAAATAAGTACATCAGATAGGTCTGTCAGGCTGTTAAAGCAAATGAAGTTTTCCTGTACTACTATATAATACTGTAACTCAAGTCTAGGAATAGTTCACTTTATTGGTTTTCACTGTTATTCTGGCAGTTTAATTTAGCCATTAAATTTTGGATCCCATTCTTGATCGTTATTTGATTCTTCACAAGAGGTAAGGTAGCTCAAATTGTATTACAAAGTCAAGCTACGTTAATAATACAATCGTTTAAAATATGTTTACGATGGCCTAAGCCATTTCCAGACCTTTCTAGTAGGACATTCCTTATTGATTTTCCTCTTTAACCAATTAGATACAATCCTGATTATATGCCTTTTCTTGAAACTTCTAAGCGGAATAGTTGGTTATGAAAAGATTCAGGGATTTCGCGCCTCCTATGAGGATCTAGATAAAAGTTCGAGTGCTATTTCACTCAACCATTCCTAGACTTGAGTTACAGTATTATATAGTAGTACAGGAAAATTTCATTTGCTTTTACAGCCTGACAGACTTTTGTGATGTACTTATTTCGTCCTCTTATACACACCATGGATTTAACTGAAAAAGTGTTCTTGTAACACTTGCTCACGGTTTAGTCTTCTCCTAGTGACAGTCTTTCCATTTGCTTTGTGCATTTAACTATTGAGGCAAAATACTTTTCTTAAATAGATTAAATCTGTGTATCTTAAAGCATATTTTTCTTCTTCTTATCAACGACCGAAATGCAGATCAAATCATCTAACAAAATTTCTAGGTAGAATAATCTGGATAAATTACCAACTCACTGAACTTTTCATTTTGACAGAATCTTACATCAGATGAGTATTTTTTTACTGGCTTCTGAATCACTCACAGTATTTCTCCTTTTCTTCCTTGAACGTCGAATCTAAGATTGTTCTGGAATACTTAAACCTGAGGCCACCTAATCGAAGAAACCATAATCACTTTTATAAGTAGTTCAAACTAAGCCTCACTGGTATTATTGTTGCTAGAATCTTTGCATATACATAGATTTGTGGTGTTAACCACAATTTATATGTCAGTCAAAATAAGTATCAGGTATGCTAGAGGGAGATTAGTTATTCAGCCTGCTCACTCCACCAAGACAGTGTGGATGCGCACTGCAGACAGAACTTTTTGTACGGTGTGCTGTAGTAGGTGTCTATCATAGATAAAATTGAGGGTAAGAAGTCTGTCTATACCGGTTACATTAAAGCCTCTTGCTTCAACAGACGAAATGTTATTTTTTACTAAGTCCAAAAAACATCTTTACAGCCACCTGAACACAATACTACATATCCACAAAGATGTGGATACTATCTACTGCTACTGACCTTTCTGATTAATAGGAGAAATGAGTTTAAACACTTTCAAATATAGTTACATATAGGCTTGACACTTGATGATATTTGGATCTAAATTCTTTCAATAGCCTTATACTACTTATAAGTATAAGTAGTATAAAACAAGTTAAAAAAATAAAGGGAAAATGCTGGTTTGTAAGGATTTGGCGATTTTTCAAGTTGTTATTCATCTTGAAAGAAAGACCTTCAGGTTTCGTGGCCAGCATGTTATCATTGAGCCACTAGATTAGAATCTAGTGGTCCATATTTCCAGTCTGGTGGTTATGAGGACAAATACCCAAAGACGACATAAGGTGACGGTCACGATAAGTCATGAACTGACAGAAGTTGGAAATAAGGGCCATTTATTTCCGACCCAGTGATTAAGTGGTGACGTGATAGCCACAGAAGCTGAAACCCTGGGTTCGGTCCCTAATGATTTCATGAGTGCTCACTGCTTAGGAGTCCTGTGCAAGGATGAAAAAGCTTTCCAATACTCCCAGGTTTCCAACTAATGTCAGTTCATGGAAAAATAAATTTCTTGAATCCGAAGACAAAATCAGTCATGAAGCGTCACGTACATCTGGATGATTTTGACTTTTAGCAGAATAAATCTGTCAGTTAACAACTAAGAAAAGCATTTACTTTTCCGATAAGTATGTCATCTCAGAAATGTTGACGAAATAGTAGTGACATACGTCAACTTACTATGTAAAGTAAATAGCTGAAGTAAGCTACTTGCATTCACTTAATTCGTATTCAATGCAGAAAATCTGCAATCTTACACTCACAAGAAAATCTTTCATTGATTTACTGCTAATTAAAAGTTTTTAAAACCAATCCAACCTCACTGCCTCCATTTTCATGCCATGAATTCAATTTCGACAATATAGAAATCTTGAACGGAGAGAGGAAACGCAGACTGTCACAGAATTCACAGGAGTTAAGCATTCATGTCAGTCAAACAGAAATCAACGGATGTATAAACATAGACCCAATCTACCAACCAATGAGAAAAATGCTACATGATAGAAAGGTCAGAGGTCAAGCAGAAGGATAGCCAAAAGGAAAATCTATACGATCAATGACACAACAATCAAAGGAAACAACCAATCACAGACCACTTCGTCAAGGCAAGCTACTAAGTCACTCAAAGGAGAGATATTGACAACTCAGTTCATAATGAAGTTGATGCTGATGATGTCGTCTGGAAAGAGGATGGAAGCTCCACGACTAAACGACCCAGCTCGGAGAACACACACTAAGACCAAGACAATCCATCTGAACTGCAAATGTTCTCCACCATTTCAGCATTTCTATCCTAGCATGTGTGACCACTTGAATAAAGACAACTGCCTGACGCCATCTACAAGGATTCCTGGTTTTTCCAAACGAGATTCCAAGAACTTCACAAAGTACAATAGATTGATTGATTGCTGATAACCTATGTGATTTACCTGATATGTTAGTCAAAAGCGAGAAGGCGTATCTTATGATATTCATGACAGTCTGACGCTAAATAAAGACGCAAATAATAATTTCAGTTAGTATTCTGACGTTTCAGTGTCGAATCTCAAATGAATCACCCAAGTCGGAAAATCGCAGACTCATGACTATTAAAAAATCTCGCCGTCTGCAGGTCAAAATCTGCTTTGAGTGCCTACAAATACATAACATTTAGGTTTTTTTTGGCTACAAGTAGTTTACTAGGTATTTTTATTTCAAATTCAGCGAAAACCAATTTAATCTTCATACTATTTCAGTATGTAAAGCGAAACATTCAGTTGATAATCTCAAAGTTACTTACGATTCCTCAACCGATGTAACAGTTTCTATAATTCGTTTTGATTTTATCGCCGTAGGACGTATCAAATTCTCAGTATGTACTGACTCTAGATCTGGTTTCGCTCTGTTGACTGAGTCATTCTCTTGAGGTTTCTCTGGTATCTGAAACTTAAGCACATTTCTATGTGTCGAAGGTGGTTTGACATATCTCCGCATTCCTCTTGGTGCGGAAATTAACTGAAAATAATAGGAAATTAATTATTTCATGTGGAAAGTATAGAATAGAAAATTTGAAGAAAAACATGAAAATCAGAACTCACCTACTCATGAGTAGTTAATGAAATAAACTGAATACGTAACACAGGGTTCTAGTAACAGAAAAAAGACGTAGCACTGTAAGAAGTCGGTAAGATCACTTTTTCGAAACACCATCCAGTTTGGTTATTCCGAGAAGAGAGACGTAATATCAGAAGTGCTATTCTTCAAATATCTAGCTACTGGTGGTATTTTAAGTCATGTACAGAGTGCCTGATACTGTTCCAAATGACTTTGATTACGCTACCCATACATATGTAAATCACTGTCAGTTTTCTATCGTAAACTTGATCTTGATGTTCATCAGCACTACAGAAGATACGCTAGTAATACTCTTCTGTCGTCATGAGCAACTTTCATTTCACTCTTGAGCTTCATTTGACCATTTGACCTTGTAGATCAATTATACACTGTCATTTCTTTCCAGTGATAATAAGCACAGTAGATCGCCATACAGGAATTCTTCTTGGATTTTACATTTACACTCTCTGCTGTATCGATAGGATTCGATATTTTTAATGAGACACTAGAATTGATTTACTAGTTACCATGTGCATCGGGGGCTTTCGATAACGTCGACCGAGAATTAATTTGGCAGCTGCTTCGACACTACGGAGTGCCACAAACCTTTATCAAACGCATTCAACAGCTATATGATGGTGCCTCATGCCAAGTGATTCATAACACAATAGAAAGTTCAATAATGCCTTTGAAGTGGTGATTGTGGTGGACTGAAATGGATAATGCAAGAAACTGCGGGCAACAAGAAGACGGGTATGCACATTTTGACCGATGACAACACCCCCATAATAAGGTTTGATTTTCGCCGATGATCATTTACGTCTAATGTCGCACAAGCTCGAAGATCTGCAGGCAAAAACCAACCAAGCTGGCAGAAGAGGCAGGGCAGTGAAGATAGGACTCCCCTTAGGTGAACGTAGAGAAGGTAGAGGTGGTGAAGATAGATACTTAACCAACAATAACAAGAACAACAAGCACCAAACATCAATCACTATCAACATGAGAAATCTAAAGGAAGTAATCTCTTCCACCTACCTACCTACCTACCTACCTACCTACCTACCTACCTACCTACCTACCTACCTACCTACCTACCTACCTACCTACCTACCTACCTACCTACCTACCTGATCAGCATCATTTCGACTACAGGCGGCTGCGTAGATGATGTCAAAGCCAAGACCTGAAAGACAGTAAAATAGACCTTACTTCATCAATCTGAAATGATCAGTGTGGAGATCTACTGCACTGAGGATGAAGCGTGAACAATATTCGCATTTTCAACACTAACTTCAGCCAAGTCAGTGCTTTTATGTGATGGTTGAAAGACTTGGCGCGTTACGAAAACATTTCCAACCTGCTGAAGACATATATCATCAACAACTGCCACCTACGCTCACTCGATACTGAAGATCAGATAGATGACCAGAAAGAATAAGCAAGGAGGAACTCTGGGTGGCAACAAACCAACCAAGGAGCTATCACCCAACAAATATGCAGAAGAAGGAAGTGGAGATGGGTTGCATTGGATTCGATATGCACTTAGAAGACCGTTTGGTGACATTACGCACCAGGCCATCGAGCGGAACCCAAATGGGAAACGACGAAATGGGCGTCCAATAAGAAGATGATGTGGAGGAGATCGTGTGAGGAAGAAATGAAAGCTTGTGGGCAGTCGTGGAAGCAGGTTCAAAAGACAGCAGAAAAGAGAGTGCAACGGAGGTGTGCTAATGAAGCACTGTGTTCCACTAGGAACCCGAGGGAAAAATAATAATTCAACGCTTTTAGATTTTGATAAATAATCAACATTTTAGTGAATATTTACGTAGACATATATGGGTTAATTATCTTCATTCCCTCAATCCTCACTTCTGTGCAACATGTCATGGAGCTTTTCAGCATTTCTGTCCTTCATATCTACTACCCAACCAACATCCTAACCTATTTCTGGAAAAACCAATGGATTATCATTAACAAGGGAGACGATATTACTACGTGGCTGTTCAAGGTGCCCTATCACACCTCAGTAATCAAGGTAACAAGGTGAATGTCGAAGAAATAGAAATCATAAAACCATAGTTCAGATATATCCAGGATAAATATAGTAATAGCTGGCGAAATAGATATAACGAGCAAAATGAAAATAAAGCTTAAATCTATTTACACTGCTACTAACTTCTAATTTCAAACCAACCATACTTTGGAATTCAACACTTTTCTACGTGGCTGACACCAACAGTCAAAGATTTCATGAACTATTGGCACCTTTCAATGAGTTTCCGATAAGTCATGAATTAACTTTAATTTAGCTAACATAATCTTTGGTATAGGTCGTACATGCTTTAGAATTCTCAGCTGAAGTCGTCTAACTTCATCAAAGGATTCATCTTCTCACGTAAATTGCATGCTAAACTCTTAGTGTCCCCTAAGTGTTGCTTTTATAACATGTGGCCGATGCCATGCCTTCTTATTCTTGCCATACAGAAGAACGTAACAAGGTATTGCGTAATTCACTCACTCTTAAAATTGCTATTTGGTTCACTGTATTTTGAAAATTTTCACTAAAGTAAACTATACCATACATAGTTTTGGGACTGTTCTAGATTGAAGCTTCAGTATACTTACATAGACATTACCTAACACACTTTTATGAGTAGAAACCAGTTGTACATGAAGATGACAAGTTTTTGGTCTTCTCTGAGCTGTCATATTATACCAACGATACAATATCAAAGATGAGTCAACATATATAATGAAACTCTCAGCAATTTGGACTAGTAACTACTATTTGTCCTCATCTGAATCATCTTATAAGTACTGACTATTTGCATAACGATTCAAGATATAAACATTTGAGTTGATGACCATAGGCAAACTAGTTAGTTAGGCTAGTACGTAAGTGGAAAGTGCGGATGAGCTACTACTATTTCGTTGAATTACAAAGTGTCAATATACTTAACTGCACACAAGGCTCCAGTCATGCACACGTAGATACCATGTTTTAATTTCTAGTGTCAGAGTCCTCTGGCGACTTCGAGGAAAAGCATTATTCGGTGACTTATGGGAGATTGCAGGGTACAGTTTTTGAGTAATTTCGCAAATTTTGATCGGTAGCTGATTCAATAAACATAGTCGTTATAATTTAATTAAGCTCAATCTTGAGCAGTATCGGTCAGATTCAAGGGATAGTATGTAGTTTATAGGATGTAAGGACTCTGTGGGTCCTTTTTAAGCCACAAGGATTAAAAACAATAAAGTTGGTTAATATCCAGTGAATGGAGAATAAAGATCACATGTCTATGTACCTAATGGTAGCTGAATACAATCCTTTAAGTATAAAAAATCTTAAAATAGTTAGTAGATAATCATGTAAGTCACTAGGAAACTTCCACTTTAAACAGGCTCTCACTTCTCTCTAACAATCTGTTATGATCATTAATGGTTGAATTACCTTACACTATAGCATTCCTTTTGCTATCGCTAAATTTACTAACTAGTTCATTCTTTGAACAAAGCAACAATGAACAGCTTTGTGGAATGAGCTGATGTCATTTTTCTTCATAGCTATTCCTCAGCTGCATACAACCTGAAATTACGTATCTAAGTCAAGATAAAAGATATTTTGAGAGTGATCGGTCCCTGTTGGTGAAGGCTGGGCAATTTGATGTAGTATACCAACTAGAGATTACAGGTATCAGACAACAACTGATACCCGTTGCATAACAGGTGCTTCTTGTACCATAATGGCTTAGTGGATAACGCTGGCATTTGAACCGATGGGTATGACGCTCGAGTTTCAGTGGGAACTACTCCACTCACTGAGGTGTTAGCACATCCAACTGACGAGACAAAAATAAGACGAAAGGCGCATCCTTGACTTCAATCCTTGACTCCAAGCAGACTACGACGTAGCCAAAACTCATTATATTGAGAAGAAAGTAGAACACAAATAAAGTAATAATGAATAACCAAGCTGAATCAAAATGATTCTCATTTGTAAAATCTTCGCTCGTTTGCAAAAACAAACTTTTGAGAACATGCTATTATCTCACTGCTCCCTATAAAAATAGTTTCATCAAGTTCATTATAAATGATGCATCAGTATTGTTAGAGGCTTTCAACAGAACCCATTCCAAAATGAATTATACAATGGAGCACAAAAGTGAAAACAAAACCGGTTAGTCAACGTCTAAACTACAACAAATTTTGTCCTATCAGTTATAAGTGAGATTTTTTCAGGACAACCTTCTGCGCAGTAAAACATTTATGCTTAAACGATAAGCAGGAATCTCAGTCTACTTGGTGGACAACAGTAGAATCCATGAAACATGTTTCATTCCATTCAGGACCCATCAGGTCACTGTACCTTCACTCCACTGAGTGCTGTTCCCATCGAGATTCGAAACAATTGCCCATCTCCTCAAGCGCCGAGGCGTTGTCCGCTAAGCCACTGGGGCACGAAAACCGCCCATTGTGCAATGGACACTGCTTTTTGTTTGCTGATACTTTTAATCTCCTGTCGCACCAATGATGAACTGGATAATACTTTGGCGTTTGGGTTTGAGCAACATCACTCACTGGGTGTAGATACGTCGTCCTGATGAGTCCTAAATAGGACGAAATGCGCCTCCTGGATTCCACTGCTAACCACCACTAAGTAAACTGCAACATAATGAATCTTCACTCAGTTTAGAGTCATCCGCAAAGAAAGCCAACAGTAGTTAAGCAATCATATTCAGTATATTGACAGGAAATAACAAGTAGTAACAAACAAAGTGAAGAGAAATTGTCAATAGGAAGATTTTCGACTAAAATAAACAACCCAGCAAATTAACTTCAAAGTATGGAAGAAATATAAGCCGGAAAACCTTACAGATCTAAAATCACTAGTCTAATCATATGTAGATTATTGTTTATCTTGACCAAGACGTAAAATTTTAGGTTGTTCTTGCTTTGTTCCAACGAAATGTTGAACATTCTGTCAGACAAACTTAGAAAGGTTTCCTGGAATCGAAAATACCTGTTAGAGTTCCAGAAAAATAGCTTTTAGATCTGAATGAAAGCTGGATCTTGATAGGTCTCTAGACAGAACACCATACTGGTAATCTATATGTATCTGTTCACCATTCTGGTGTTCTTGGACATGTAGAACTGATAGATACGGGGGGGGGGCAGTTATCACTTATCCAACGGTAAAACGTAATCATGAGGCATTGAAAATAAAATAGGCTAGACGATTTTGCCGTACATATTCCAAAACAAAGTCAAACACATTACTGACTGAACAACAAAACACCTTTCAATTAACCAAATAACTAACTTGTTTTATCTTCTCCGAACAGTCTTTCGTGACGATTCCATCTTGTTCCAGTGAAAAACGTCCACTAAAATTGATTGGTTCATCCAGATGATATGGTGTAGGTAAATACTTTTCAATATCTTCATATAAATTACGTCTTACTGAATTATACATTGAATTCTTTCTATGTCAACAATAATACTGAACGCTTTGATAGGTTGAAATGATTTTTAAGCAGAAGAGTAGGGCTATTTACCGAATTTATTGCCTTATTTATTGATTTACAGAGAATTAACCAATAATCTGATCACTGAATACAGAAAGTATTAAGTTTTGGTCGACAATACTACTACTACTATGTAAGGAAACCGATGGTCTATACTCTCATGTTTATTATGCTTTTATAGTCCATAATATTAATGAATTTCAGTGAGGACAAAGTGAGGCCACAATTGAACTGGGATTTAATAAATTGATTAAGAATTTATTTATGTACCTTTTTGTCCAGATAAGAGAAAAACATTTCAAGGTTGAAGTGAATAGTAAATTTGTATGACAGGTAAAGCATTACGTAACATCTTATCGCCAAGTAAACCCTACCTGCCAAAAATATTCACTTCTGGTTACTTCTGGAATCTGTGATTTGGACAGATCTAACTATACCCTTGAATTATCTGTGGTTGTCTAACAGATTAGAGAAGTGCACACTGAAAGAGAGGAAAACAGTATGTGTATGCGTGTGTTTTTATACAAGAAAACTAGGTTGGGTTGAATAACAGTACCCTGACTAACGATATACACCTAAGCATATGAGGAAAAATCCTTAGTTGCAACAGGTGTCTAGACTTCAAGTCATCTCATACAATGTCATCTAGAGCAGGTTTAGTCAAATGTCTAAATGATAGAGCTAGAAAATTGACTAGTCAGTTCAAGAACCTAAGCAAGGAACTGAAGTACATAAAAGAAGCGCTAATAGTTAATAAGTATCCTCTGCAGTTTATTAGGAAATTAGTACTAACACATGAGGAACAAAATAATGACAGTCACATGAGTACGAATAATAACGACAAAACTAGCAGAAAGGAGTTCACAGCCTCCATTGTGTTACCCTAAAAGGAAGGTGCATCAGAAACTTCACGTAGGTTCCTCAACAAAGCTGGTATGAGGGTGGCATTAAAACCTAAAACATCACAGATAAGCTTTGTCAGCCGGGTTAAGGATCCGATAGAACCAATTATGCAAAATAATCTACCAAATTTCATGCAGTGACCACCAGGTCAAGTACATAGGTCAGACTAGCCGGTCGGGGTCAGTTAGAATTTAGCTAAATAAAGAATGACAGACCCCAATAAGATGAATAATCTAGAAAAAAGTACTAGGCTATTGCAATGCATGAATTGATGCACTACTACACAATAGGTTGGGTGGGATAAAATCACCGTACTTAACCTCAATATAATTAGGTGGAGATTGATTACTGAATCTTTGTTCATCGAATCAATACCCAACACATGTGATAGAAATAACGCAGTACATATACCACAGGTACGGAAAATTTTACTACCAACAGAAACAAAGAATAAGAGGTGATAGGACTATAAAACGAAGATGAGGAACGTAGTGTGATCGCGTCGATATGATTATGAGTAATAATTTGTGCTCGAAACGTCATCAAGTAAATAGAACTGTATCACATTGTGTGTTATAAATCAGATAAATATATCTAACATGGAATTGTATTCTACCATAGTACCACAGTACCTAAGTTTTACACTTACAGTAGTAAATTACTGTTCAACCATATGTTAGTTTAAAGTAGTCAAAGAAGGTATATTATAAAAAAATTGTCACTTTATTCGATTTTCAATAAAAAATCCAAATGGCCCAGACGTCAATTATATCTTTGTGGTGTTTCACTCATGACTAAGATTGTAACTAATACATTAGAATCAATTATCCAAACTCTGAGAGTTACAGTTACCCTGACTGTAAAAGTCAGAATATCATTTAGATACCTATTAAATTTGAAATTTGAAACACGTAGCATTGATGGAAATACAGAATATAGTAGCTACCATGAGACTAAATAATTTTAAATTCGACCACTGATAAGGTTGAAGTGGAAATGTTCTCCACAGCTGCCAAGTTCTTGATGGTTACTAAACTCATGCTAGTTCATAGTGTAAACCACTTTGACATCAATCAATCCCTTAAAACCGTCACCCGCATTACTCTCGACTCCCTGTAAGTTCTTTGTTTGAGATGAATTTATTGAAGTTCTAACACGAGCTGAGAGTTGTAGGGATAATTATTTCTCTACAGTCATGCTATAATATGACATGATATAAGTATTAAAATGTAGGTGTGGCCAATAGTAAAACACTCGCAAAAAAGACCTGACGCTCCTAAGTTTAGTGCTATGAAAAGTTGCGGTTGAGCACTGCTGAAGAATTCCTAACTGTGACAAAGCAGGTGTTCAGTGCTTTGAAGTTTTCAAAAACTTTTCAACCACTGTCAGAAGAACGAAATATAGCAATAATAATGTGGAACGAAGTAAATTTGAAGTAAAGCTGGACTGAAGACATCTGCGGTAACTTAACATGAGAGGTATATATGTTCAAGACATCCAGATACCTTTTTAGTTAAACACATTAGTACCATTGTAACGAAATATACTTACCGAACTGTTTTTGTATGCATAGCTCTGGCTATAAGTTATGAATCGCAAAAGCTTCTGTAGTGTATAGCAAATGGAGACGGAGACGTTTAGAATAGATTTGGTTAGATTTTGTAGATAATATCGAATGAGGTATTCAAAGATGAACTTTTGTATCAACCACATGTTGCAGAAGGCGTGAACTGACTGATTTTATTTGCTCTTTACTAAGCCATTCTAGGAGATGTTCTGTAATTCAGTGAAGCATAGGCTTAGGTGAATGACGTACACATCGTGATTCACAGCAGCAGGTGGACTGATAAACATACACTGAACTAGTGAGTCTTATCTTTCACATAAAGACATATTAAAGGGCGACTGTGATATGTAATTCTTAGGTTAGCTGCATGAAACGTCTTACGATTCCATCTTTCCAAGCGTTTTTTCAGAATATTGTCATCAGTATCCCCCTTCAACACTTAGTTCTTGAACAACATCTTCATTGAAGCATTGCTGATGATTGCTACAATAACCTTATGCTTTATATTTTTCTCACTGAAGCGTAATGGGCGTCCATCTTTCCAAAAAGCGAATTTCAAGAAACTTATTTCCTCTTATACGCAGCCTATAGAATTAATTTTATGACGTCGCGAAAACAGAGAGCGGATAAGATTGCGTTTCTGGTTAACGAAACCCAGATATATAAGTTCGTGAATTGTCAACTCCATGTTGATTTTCTGTATATGATTCTCAGCAGTGCACTGTAGTCTCTTTTTGTAGAATATCTAGAAACGAGATTTTAGAATCTATTTCTCTATCGATTCTAAACTTTAGTAGTAGATAACTTTGGTTGAAGCTACTGAGAATTTCTCACCTATCAAGTGTCTTGTGATATATGATGAAGTTGTCATTGAAATATCTCTCATGTCAGTTGGCTGATCATTAACCTGAGGTTACCACTCTCGACGTTGGCCTTAAAGAAATTGACTAGTAATGGGCGTAGAAAAGAGCTCATAGCTATGCCGTCTCTTTTGTTGGTACACCTCTTCGTTGCAGCTAGATTGTACATTTGGAAAACACCTCAAGATAACTTCTTTTAAATCAACAGTAGATACCTCAATATCTATATTATTTGTATCTACAAAGTCGTACATAAACCATAGTAGTAGACTAGTAAATAAGAGAATAACATTCAGTGATATCATTGTCATACTGGAAAAATTCAAACTGTTTACCGCTTGAACACGTTCAAATATACCATAAACAGAATGCTTAAAACAATCTGGGGGTTTATTGAGATTTATTGATTGATTTCAGGTTGGAATTCACCACGCACTGACGTCAGCTGGAGGAACAGTAGGAACATGGGAGCACTGGACAGCTGTCTCATCCTAGTATCGGATTCCACAGTAGTGAGCACCCATGACCCCATCAGGGATCGAACACAGCACCTTTAGGTTCCGTAACAAACACGTTACCGTTGAGACATTGGGTAGCAACCCAGAGATCCATATTTCCAACTTCTCTCAGTTCACGACATAGTGCGACCACCACCCATTGTCATCATTGAGTATTTGTCCTCATGGTCAGCAGGTTTGCCCCACACGTCACGGCTTCTCATTGGAACTTCAAGAATCACCTTTCGAAGCCAGTCACCAATTGCGTTATCCGGTAGTATATGGTTCATTTTATCTGCATAGTTCTGCCGGTCGAGTAGCACCAAACCTGCTTCCTCATGAGGGTGAGTGAGGAGTTGAAGTTGTTTTAAGTGTTCTTTATTGATGTGAGGTTGGAGGATTTGGTACTACGTCACTTGTCTGGCTAAATCGATTTCTGAATTGCGATCGTATACGTAGTGGGTTGTCATTTCGAAAATACTCGCGACATCTAGCATCCAGAGGTAAAACTCGAGCTTGCATAGTGAAGTTTAATTGTAAGCATAATTCTCACGATAATCTAGGAGCTATTCTTTAGGGATCTCTGTTTTTAGAATGCCTTTTAGCTTGATAGTAGTGCCCTCAAATCTGAGTTTAATTACTGCGGAAACATAATCTTCGAGATGTAATTTAACTTCTTTATAATGCGTGAGATCTTTTGGTGACATTTCTCTTAATCTAATTAAACAACTACGCATTTCTCAGCGCGATTCACTTGAGTGTTCTCCAATTCAAACTCGACAAAGAGATTTCAAGAACACTTTCCAGAATTCATGATCATTGATACATTCATTAAGGAATCGAATTTCGTTCCATGCCAGAGCAAGCTTTACGGAATAATGAAGAAATCCACTAGGATGTTTTTATTATGAGACGGCACCTGCTCTTTTAGACGCAATATCTAACTATTGATGATTCCATACGACAGTTGCAGAGTTTCCCATATTTTTGTGTGTCACTAACTTCATACTGTATTGACTATCAGTCGGTCATTCTACACAAAATTCTGTTTTACAGTCCTTGGTTGAAACTGATGCTGAATTAGTCATTTATGGATGACTAACATTTTCGTATTAAGTTCA